AAAATACCTCCAAATATTTTTTAATTATATCTCATGAAAACAGTGAATATTATAATTGAAACCCGTAAAAGAAGCAGCAGCGATATGATATAAATCATTTTAATGCGAGACTTGTAAATTTTTGTGTTAAAATCCATCGAGAAAATTATCGAAATCGAGTCGATTTCAAATTTTCGAATTTTAGAACAAGCGTGATAGATGATTTGCATCAGTTGACTGAAGAATTCCAAACAAGATTAATTATAACTTTTTTTTTTTTGGAACATGTCAAAAATGTGCTAGAAAAATATTACCCTTCAAAATTTTTAATTTTTGATGCATTTTAAGGAGTCCTAGTTTAATTTAAAACCTATGATTATACATATGTTTATATATACAGTGAGAAAAGTAAGCTAAATACATTTCTCTCATCACATGATTTGGTAACTTTAACTATGATTTGGTAATGTAACTATAACCAGGGTTGGCAATGTTTAAAACACTTGTTTTTTAAAAGTGCTTAAAACCTTGTTTAAACCAATGGGAAAAAATCACAGATATTTAAACACGTTTTAGTACAATAAGGGGCATTATGTTGCAAATAAAACTTTTGAAAAGTACAAAAACTATTCATTATATGATTGAACATATTTTAAACATATATAAAAAACATTAATCATATAATGAATAGTTTTTGTACTTTTCAAAACTTTTATTTGCAGCATAATAGCTCTTATCGTATTAAAACGTGTTTAAATATCGGTTACTTTTTCAATTGTCTTAAACAAGGTTTTAAGCACTTTTATAAATCAAGTTTTTTAAACATTGCCAACCCTGACTATAACCAAATCATATTTAGTTTCCTTAACTAAACTATTTTCTCAGTGTAAGGGTATTAAAGTATACAAATTTCAAAGGATATTTAAAAAAAATTTAATTCTGCCGTCCTATTAAAAAGTTATAAATGCAGAATCACTAATACATATCGCACACCGTCTTCAAAAGATTCACAACTCAAAATAATACGTATATAGGCCCTACTTTACCTTTGGTTTGTTTAAAAAATTATAACAAAAATTTGCTGCAGCTTTTGCTGAAAGGTAAATAAAAGCTCGCGTACTCGCTCGACCCTATTAAGCTGGCATTTCAGGGTACTATTTTATATATA